AAGCCGGTCTTGGTCCGCGATCGTGTGTGAAGTAACAGAAGGCGCAATCTCGGCCGTTTCGATCCACGACGCTGCTTTCGTTTCGGGAAAAAGGGAAAGTGAGCTTCTCTCTGCTGGCGCACGCGTTCCTCCGAGATGAATAAACACGGCGGACCGTTCCCTCTCCCCTGCGCGTCCAGTCTCCGAGCGGCGCGGCGTATTATTCGGCCTTTTGGCCCTCCGCTTCCACGACGAGGGCTAAACCCCCGGTGCCTGCTACATACTAACACATACACATACATTCGAGCTCCAGATGCGCCCGGCGAAAAAATGGAAGCTGGATTATGCGTGCACACACACATACACACACACACACACGCACACACATACACGCGAGCGTACACACAGCGGGGGTTTGCGGTCGAGAAACGTCGCGCGACGTCGGTCACCGGAGCCGTCGAAGAGGATCTCCTCGTGTGCATAATGGAGGCTCGAAAAACGAGGCAAAGCGAGGTGAAGAGAGCTGACCTACTGTGGCAAGTGGCTCAGGGCCGTCGCTGTCCAAATCGTCCCCCCGATCGCCCCCCTCCGGGCATCCTCTCTCCATCCGGTACCATGCGGCAGTATCCAGGTCCGTCTCTCTCTCTCTCCCCCTCTTTCTCCCCCTCCCTATCTTTCTCTCTATCTGCACCGCGGTGCCCTCGTGGCCACTTTGTTCACCACCTCCTCCTCCTCCTCCCCTTCCTCCTCTTCCTGGGTCCTGCCTGACTCTCCCGCTTCTCCTCCCTCGGCCCTTTTGTACAGGTCGATTTATAAAGGGGAATTTTCGGTAGAAATAGGGCCGCTTGTGGAAATATAAATGAAAAGTAGCCGAACAAGATGCGTCGAGAAACTGACCTCTTCGAGGATGAAAGCGATTTTCGGGTTTCGTGGCAGGTGGCCCCTTCGCTGCACGTTATCTCCGTATAATACTTCGCTTTTACTTGAGTCGATTTTCCTAATGTTGTCTCCATACATGGAAAACTATTGTTCCACTGTTAAGAAAAGCGTTCAATGAGAAGAAAATACTTAAAAATTTATTTGTGGAAGATGAACTTTATATTCGCAGAAATAAATTTTGTTTCACAAAAATAAACTTTATATCTCACTAATAAATTTTTACGTATTTTTTCTCCGTGTTTATTCCAAATTTATTTTCCTTCTCTTAAATAATGATTATCTTCAAAAAATATTTTCTTGATAATAGTCTCAAGATATATACTCATCATCAATTTCAGAGAAGCTTATTATTGTGTACTCAAAAAAAGAATTTATTGTTTTTATTAGAATATTATGAAACTTGATAAAAGAAAGAGTTATATAAGCAGAAAACTGAATTTTTGTTTTAATTTAATATTTTTGATTGAAACGCTAAACCAATTAAGATTCAGAGTGAATTTTGAATAAGTTTGATGCTTATGACCGATTTGTGGATACATTGCTCATAAATTGCTTAAGACTAGTAACATTACATTAATTTGAATGCAGTTTTTCTATGATGTGCGCGTAATTATTTTACCAAAGCATTTATATAAGCAGAAAACTGAATTTTTGTTTTAATTTAATATTCTTGATTGAAATGCTAAACTAATTAAGATTCAGAGTGAATTTTGAGTAAGTTTGATGCTTATGACCGATTTGTGAATACATAAACTCATAAATTGCTTGAGACTAGTAACATTACATTAATTTGAATGCAGTTTTTCTGTGATGTGCGTGTAACTATTTTACCAAAGCATTTTTCTCTGGCGACTATTACTCAGACTTGATGGTTATTATCAATCTTTCCTGCTCCTAAATTTCGCGACGTCCACTTGTTGTAGATTACTCTGTATACTGGGAAAGTTCGCAAGGGGAGTTGGCGGCGATGGACCAAATGGATCGTAACGCCGAATCGTCGCGGCGGATAATAAGTCCCGAGTCGATAATAGATCCGGATAACTGAGCTTGTCTATCGTGACGCCGTCGCGCGATAAACGACGTGTATCGGTTTTAGAGGCGATCAGAGGCGTGTTCCGGGCCTCTAACGTGAGCGCGAAGGTGAAAGCTTCGATAATTGAAGCGCCGTGAATGATATAGATCTGAGGTAGGAAGAGACAGAAAGAGAGGGAGGGGTGGGAGAGAAGAGCGAGTCAACACGACGAGGTCCTACTTGCGAGTGCTTTCCAAGCCGATTCTGCTGTTTAAGTAACGATTATTGCGAGACACGGTGCTGCGAACGAGCGAATTAGCGCGGCCGTTGTTTGCTCTTTCGCTCTTTTTTACGGTATCTCTCTCTCTCACACACACTCTCTCTCTCTCTCTCTCACTCTCGTTCACTTCCACTTCATTATCTCGATTACGAATGGGCGCTCGGAAGAAGTAATAGAATATCGCACCCTTTTAACCTTTAAGTATCACGGCAAAAATCGTTTGTACGTGACTTCGCCGGTGCATTTTATCTCGAATAGGGGAGACTATATGGTCCTAGGGGTATGCTCATGTGCTTTTTTAAGTACTTATCTTGAGAGGAATAGTGAGTGCAAAATTGCAAAATGGTTCTTTTAGAACACAAACCCTTTTCTCTGACTTTCATTAAAATCGGAATAATAGTTAAGAAATAGAAAAATTTGATTTGGCAATAGCAAAGTAAATTTTTGAGTCTCTCGAAATTTTATATTAATATTCTTCGTGACTGAATAAAATTAAGCGATGTATTACTAGATAGAATAAAATTTTTTGCAAGTGTATGATATACTGTTTTTGGTAACAAGTGCAGTTTTCATTCATAAGATGATTGCAACAGAATATAGGGGCGGATGAAATAAAGTTGGGCGTAATAAAGATCGGCGGGAGAGCTGTGGAAACCTCTCGCGGAGACTCTGAAACTATTAATCAGGAGATATATCTCATACGCCTTCTTTACCTAGCGCTACTAGACAACTGAACCCGGTACCAGAGCAAGATTGTTGCATGCTCGTATTTTGGTTATTACAAAAAAAAAATATACGGTTAACAGAGTCATGGCGGGCATTAATACATAGAATAAGGTTGCCTCTATCATGCACTGAGGGAAAAATTACCTTAAAATCAACAAATATTTCTTTGATGGGTGCCATTAATATATTTATTCACAAATCTAAATTCTCTTTATTTAAACCAAATATTGTTTACTTAAATCAGGTAAACAATATTTCATTTAAATAAAGAGAATTTAGATTTAAGAAATCAAAGAAATAATTATTAATTTTAAAGTAATTTTTCTCTGTATAAGTGTGCTTATACAGTCAGTCGCAACAATTAGTTACCTGAGAAGTTGTAACTTCGAAATTCTCAAATATAGGGCATCTAGTCCCGGTCTCCTCTACGCGAAGGGCAGGGGAGGAGCGCGGTTATTTTTCGGCCGTGTTGCACGGACCACAATATCAGCGTGTGTATCCTTTGTTAACGAAGCCCGCAGAGATTCAATATCCGACTGGGTGATTCGTGACTCGCGCGGCTTTTTCGCTCGGCCGGCGTAAACGCCTACCTCCTGGACGGTGAGGAAAGTGAATCAGCCGGTGTCGAGTGAAAATCACCTAGTGAAAATGTGAAGGCCGGGTAGAGTGGCGATTTGAAAGTTCGCCGCCGTAGCTTCCAGCTACGAGTCGATTTTCACTTCGCCCGCGCCCGCTTGCCCGCCTGCCTGTCCGACCATCCTCTCGTCCGTCCAAGAACCAGGCAGGCAGGTAGACATCCCCTGCGCGCGAAACGTTCCGGCAAAAGGTCGACGTTATTGCTCACAGAATTCTAAGTATTGTGTTCACGCATCGTCGGCTACGTATGTTAACTAGCCCCGACAAGTGATACATGGAGATGATATAAAAGTGTGAAATTTACTAGAATAATTCTGATTTCTTTATTAATTTTTTTTCCTTAATTGTACTTTTTGATAAATTTCAGGAAATATTATATGTTATCAATTTTCCTTATAAGTTCAAAATAATCACAGCTTTGTATCACATATTCTAGGGTATATTTCACACGTAAAAGTAAATTTATATAGGAAATAACGGGTTTCTTTCATATACTGAGAAAAAATACATGAAAATTTATTTTTGGGATGCACAGTTTATTTCTGTGAAATAATCATTTATGTAAATTTTTATATTTTTGTATCATTTATATAATTTTTGTATTTTTAATAAATTTATTTACATAATATATTATTTATATTTATTTATCATTTATACAATTTATATTTATATAATTTAGTCGTACAATATGTAATACAAACCTATCATTTTAAACCTTATTGATAACAAATTGTAATATTTCTTGGAATTACGCTTTATATGAAATGATTTGTTGTAGGCACTGTAAACATTGATAAGATAATATCAAGAAAAATGAGTTTGCGATGTGAGCGAGTTGATAATTGTTTTTAAATTTAATATCTTTGTTGCACCAGCAAATCTGCTTAATTATAACGTTTAGTTTTACTTCAGCAAGTTATAGATTTGCAAAATCAATTGAATCATTTTTTTTCCGTGAACTGATGATAGATTAGTGAATGTATAAATTCGTGAAATATTAGAAACGACTAACATTTATTTGACTTCAGCGTGTATTTTTCTGTGTGTACACTGTGTGTCGCCTTTTAAATCGCGAACGATCGATGTCGAGAGCGCACGCATTGTGTTGACCTTCATGAAATTTACATTAAAATTTATATTATGCCCGCGCACGTATATGATATAAATACTTCAGATAAATTCCATAAATTTATGAGGAGGAGTGAGTAGTAATTTTGCAGATGAATCCGTAAATAATTACGAGTCTATGACGAACGATAAATCCCAAATTATTAATTAATATTTGCAAGTACACGAGAGAGGAGGAATACACGAAGGTCTGTGTAAACTTATGGAATTTGTGACGGCTCTCGATTTAGCTCGTCAGTTATCTGTTACGTGGATAATGTTGATAAACTCACGAGTGTCCTCTGTGGCTTTTGATTTCAGGATGTCCTTGGTTTGCGTCGTCCTTGTGTGATATCGTCAAACAGCAGCGAACTATGCCAACAAGTAAGTACTCACGTCCCCGACGTATGTCGGCCGCGAATCTCTTTTGACAAATGCAGATTACCTCAACGCTCGTCGTATCGAGCGGCGACCTTCTTCTCGCTCCTTCTACCTGCGTCCTCGTCGCGATATCGGCAACCGATGCGATCTCGAGAGCGTTGAAATTCCGGCTCGATCGCGCATCCTTTAATCAGTTAATTAATTAGCATCCCCTCTTAACTTCTTGGGCATCGTTTGACGTCTGGCGACGAAATGGCACGAGTCTCGTGCTTCGCGACTTTTCCTCTCCGGAAAGAGAGAGGGAGAGAGATTTAACAATGCATTGTCTTAGTGCTGTTTGAGACTGCAATAGAAAATTTTATCAGAAAATTGATAATAATAAATAATATTATAATAATTATATATTATTGTAAATATTATAGAAATATTATTATATTATTTATTATAAGTTTTTTTTCTGATAAAATTTATTGAAATTTAAATTCTTTTATTTAAATAGAATAACTAATTTCTTTTATGAAAAGTTAAGATTTTAAGAAAATGTATATTGTCTCTTATGCGATAAAAATGTTATATTAGTATAGGCAAATATGTTATTAGTACTATCGCGGTTAAATATTTTTTATTTTTTAAGTATTTTTTCCTTTCAGTGTAGGAATATTGATTCAAAGTCACTTCATAGCTTTTAAAATTATCGAAGCTGTGTTATCTATTTTAAAAATTGCTTTTACTTCGTTCTTTCTAATTATTTATTAAAAGTTTTTGTTTTTTTTAAGCCAGTTGAAGCAAATGGAACTTTCGTTTTGTATCTTTAAATATATTCTTGGATTTTCAAGAAAGTAACCAGAATACCCAATTTCTAGGTTACCTGAACAAACTGGAGCAATAACAGTAATCTAAAAGTTATATAGATAACAAATATGATACATACATACGTAGAAAACAAACTCACAACTTCTTTCTTTTTAAGTTAAGGTTATAAATGTTAAGGGAATGTTAAGGGATTTCTAACCTTTGAATGTTTACTAATAAACTACATTCAGAAATTTTTCTGAGAAGACTACGCACATATCGATTTGGCATATTTATTATAGAAGCACGAAAAAGCACGAGATAATAATTGTTTGAAAATATCACATCGAAAACGCGGTTTTGAGAGAAACATATTTAAACTTTTAAGTACATTCCCGAGCAAACACACACATATCTTCAATATTCCTTTGTACTTATATGATAAGTATGTTAAGCTACAAATCGCCAAGTTATTTTTCCAGAGAAAATTCCTGAATATAATCTATTTTTTCAGGTTGCAAAGATAAAAAGCTCCTTAAATCGATACTTGAAATTGTCGAAATCATTGTTGCCTCCTTTTGATGCTAACTAAAGCCTGATCAATATGTTCTTTGTTTCCTGTTTCTTATTTTCTATCTTTTTTTAGTTTAAGGTTGAAGGCTTGAGTCAGAAAGAGATAAAGAAAAAGTAATAGGAAGCAAATAAAACATTATAGATCAAGCTTAATTGTCTCTCCCGTACACTGTGTGTTTTACTTCATAACCCAGATTGTATAATTTTGTCAGTTTGCAATTAAGTGATTAAGTGATTTTTTGACAGTTTACTATATAATGACAAGAGATTAGAGAAAAGACAATAATGAGACAATAATGGTAGGTAATGAAGGAAATGAGACGGGAAAGGAAGCAAGAGAGAAACAGAGAACAGGCATACGGGAAGACTGCTGGGAAAAGAGAGATAAAAATATCGACTCAACATGTTTTTTTATGATAAGATTTCGACTATGGACACATTATTGACTTGACACATTTTTTATGATAGAATTTTAAACACGGATAGTTTTTTTTCACCTCATCAATTCTTTTCAATTTTACTATATTTTTAGAAGTCCACAAGTTACCTGTTAGTAACCTGTTAGTAAAGTCCATCTTCTTGCTACGGAATACAGAAAATTTCGCTAGAAACAAGTATTTAAAGCAAGTACTTAAAGGCTCCTTGTACCTCGTCGGCCATGTCAAATTTGTGACGTCAGAAGCGAGAAATGACATGCTGAAAGTTGTGTGCCATTCCTGAATAAAGACAAATATGGACGAGACAGGATTTTAGATTGCTTGAGCATATTTGTAAAATTGCCCGAAAGGTATCCCTTTCCCCTGATGATCAATAAATAGTTGTGTAATAAATGGTGAAATGAAGCATGTGAAATGATGAAATGAGTCTGCATACCTCATTTCATACATGTTATACATTTATACATATTATGGACTATTTATTAATCGTTAGGAAATATCGAAAGGAATATTTTCCGAATAATTTTACAAGTATGCTCAAGCATTTAAATATTCTTTCCTTCATATCTTTATTTATCTATCTTCATATCTTTATTTATATATCTTTATTTAAAAATGGCATTTTTGTCAGTATATTGTCAGTCATTTCTCGCTTCTAACGTCACATATTCAACATGATCGCGTCGAGATACAAAGAACCTTAATAGTACACTTTAGTTTCTAAAATATACTATAAATAGTACATAATTTATTAAAGATTATTATGAATGCAGACTATTATGAATGTCGACGTATTCCTTAATTACAAAATCCTATAGTAATTTTTTACTATAAAATTTTCTTCGTGTTTTCACCTATTTTTGCCTTCTGTTTCCATATTAATAGTTATTATTTGAAATCATTTGTTTCACATGAGATACTCAGATTTGAATTCAGAGATAGATGAAAATTTTTTCAGTTGAATCACGCGATTACTGGTATAAATATTATATATATCATATATAAAATATTATATATATCATATATAAAATATTATGATATATATGAAATGTTATATATATCATAATTAAACTGAGAAAAGTTGGATCTAACTCTGAATAAAAACCTGAAGTATTTTACACAAGTAATAAGTTTCAAGTAATGACTATTAATACGGGTCTATGGCCTTGTATTAATAATCATTAACTTGAAACTTGTTTCAAATAAGATTTTCACATTTAAATTTAGAGTTAAACGTCGAGTCTTCCTATTGAATCGCGGCTACAAATATAATATTATGTATATCATATATCTTAACTCAAGAACGTAAGTATATTACTTCAAATTAAAATCTGATTATTTCACGTGAGACAAGTTTCAACCGACTATTAATACGGGCTTATATATCTTTCATCTGGTTGTATTCCTTTATCTCTCTTCTTGCAAATTGCCTTTATTTTCGAGAAAATGACTTTGATAATTTCGAGTATTGACTCTACCCATCTTTTTATGAGAGGATTGTGTTTTTTACCTCTTATAGTAGTTAACGACACATTACATAAAATAATGAAGGTATGCAGTAAAAGCAAAATGGCACGAGCTTGTATTGTTCTAATGACAATCAAAGTCTCGAGTCGATTTTCCCGGGACATGTCGTCGTCTCGGAGTGAGTCGTCTTTGTCGCACGGCGCTCCGTCAACGTCTGCTTCCGCATTGCGTATCGCGCATTCCGCGCGCGATTCCGTCGCGTTACTTCTTCTCCATCGGGAGAGACGTTCATTCTTGCGCGGTGAATCGTGTTTCGCAAATGCTTTATGACCGTTGCCGCCGCTAAGTAAGGAAAATCAAGCGGCGCGTGCCCGCCGTGTATGTATGCGTATGTGTCCGCTTGTGTCAACGGCGACTTGTACCGTTGCTTACGCGAGATACAACGAGATATTTCGCGGCTATTGTGAATATACGCGAAAGTGACATCACTCGCGCGTCCTCGGTTACATAAAGATATCGCCCCGTCGCCAACATCGATGATGATGATTCTTCCACGTTACGTGACTTCTCATCGCGCCCGCGTATGCACGCGCGTGTACGCGAGGAGTGCATTTATAAGGTTCTCGCGGCGCGTCGACGTTTCAGGATTAATGGTTGTACGAGCAATCTTTACTGACGATCGGATTTTATAAAAGCAAAGATGAACATTGAAATTTGACGGTTTAAGGGGCCAAACTAATGTAACGTAAAAAGTGTATTTTTAGACATTCATTTTGTGAAAGTGGATCAACCGAATGTTTTGAAACATTATATATTAATTGAGTAACTGTTAAACTTTATATTGCTATTTTTGTTATTTAGAAAAATCTATAAATGAATGTGCAATATGTGGCCGAACTCATGACTGCAAAAAATATCGCTGTAATCGACGGGAAAGATAGCACCTGTTCTTTATTACACAGAATGAGAAAATAGAAATACAAAACAAACGATGAAAATTTGCTCAAAACAATATGTCATGCAAGGGAAAAATATTACAGGTCTTTCTAGTTAATTTTATTACAAGCGGTGGTATAAATAGTTGAGATAAAAATATAAAGAAAATGGTCAAAATTTGCCGTAAAAAACAATGTATCATATCATAAAATCTGTTTACTTATCATAAAATCTGATAAGTAAACTTACCCAAAAGGTACACTTCGATTTCTTTCTAATTAGGCAGAAATGTAGAAATACATAAAATATTTAGGTTATATTTTTTCATTTTGGTCCACTTTGAATTTCACGGGCAGCTTATAGTTTTTTAATGTTCTCACTCCTATCATCAACAAAAATGTATAAGAAATAAAATTGAATACAAGATATAGGCGATTTTGGTTTGTTGATTATGAATATGAAGTCAAATGTGTAAAATTATTTGTATAAATAATAAAATGTTTAAAAAAATATATAAACAGTTGAAAAAAATTATTTATACAAATAATTTCTCGGTTCGTCTGAGATTTGAACCATTTTTAACTAATTTAGCACAGATTTGAAATATTTCGGTTGGAATCTCGGCTAAAGAAATTTAGAATTTGTCTCAATTATGCCGATTTTGTTAAAATTATTTAACTATATCTTGTATTCAATTTTATTTCTTATGCATTGTACTTATTGATGATAGAAATGAGAACATTGAAAAGCTATAAACTGCCCGTGAAACTCAAAATGGGCTAAAATAAAAAAATATCA